ATTTCTCTTTTGTTGTGTTTTAATAAGCCATAACCATTTAGGCAGGGAACACCTGGTTTCAGATTCAGTATCTCAACTGCTTATTTTGGTTCCATAAACAGCCAAGTTCAACTATTTCCCACACTGTACAGCAATTCCCAAATACCTAGTCAAAGACAATTTATAGGAGAACAGAAGGAAATGTTTTACCCCATAGCAGTAACTCATTCAGATAACATTTAAAAGTGTTGAAAGGAGGAGGAAAAAAGCACTTTATGCCTTTCTGCAATTTCTTAAAAGTGTATATTTTTCGTTCTTTAATACTTCTGGCAAAAATAGATTTTAGAGCTTGGAGGTCTATGAGCTTAGGTGGGTATAATCAAAAAAGAATCTGTTTAATGAAAGTTACTGTCATATTTAAATGATCAACTATGGCCAATGCAAATAATTTTTTTTAAAGGATTTCAGTCAGAGGCTTCCCCATTAAATGTTTTAATATAAAATTCTAGATTTTATATATTTAGTATACACTATTTCAATATTTGAAGGCTTTAACAATAAAATAAAGCCAGCTAAGCCCCCCTAAAGGATAATGGCCTTCCCTGTTTCTAGTTTTTCTTTCATTAGAATGTAAGTTGTTGTCCTTAATAAAAAATGATCTTAAAAAAAAAAAAGTAGTTGCCAGAAAGCAGAATCAAAAGCCCAGAAAAACAGATGAGTAATATGCTAATACTAGATTTAATCACTATAGTGAACAGTGCTGGCTAGAGCTGCTCTAACAGTTAGTTATCCACAGGTATGTAAATTGTTTTCCTTCCTGTAAATCCCAGCATCAGTGTGATGCCGGCAGTGTTTTTCCCATTCTACTGTAGGAGCCACAGAGGAAGCTCTTTAACCACAAGGCCAAAAACTGTTCAGGAAAAGGTGATCTTAACTCCAAACAAGATATTGTTCTGGTAAGTGATTTTCTTTTATCCATTTAAATAAAATAAACCAAGTTGTTCCTTAAAATTGAATTTAATTATTGTCAGGCCTATTGGATTTCTATAAAAATAAATCTAGAAGCCAGAAAGGACACTAAAAAAAAAAAAAAAAAAAAACCCAGATCAGAGGTTCCTGGCTTTGGTCTCAGCGCTCTTCTTTACCAATATGTGACTTTTGACACATTATCTCCCTGGGCATTGGTTTCTTCCTTTGTAGAATGGGATAAACCCCGTGATGTCTCTCGCTCTACATCTCTGAGTTGTGCTCAATCTGATGGACGAATGAGATGAGTGTAGATGGTAAACTGTAAAGCACCACCACAGAGCTGTTGCTATTACTTATTAAATAATTTAATCATTTAATGACAGGTAAAAGGGAACTTTTAAATCCCACTTTACCAAGTCTCATAAAAACAAAAGATTATAATCAGGTGCCATAATTTTTCAGGCTTATGATCCAGATACATGCCACAAACATCTTATTCTCCTTTACACAACTCCTCCAATTACCTACTAATAACCATTTCCCATTTCCCCATGTTCACATTTACATACATACTTACAAACATTTACGGGAAGTAAATATATATATATATATATATATATATATATATATATATATATATTCGTATATATAAAAGTATGTAGAAAGAACAAAATGCCAGAGTAAAGCAAAGAAGTACCAGGCTATGACCATTCTGGTCAAGGAGGGAGGGTCTTTCATTTGAGGATTCAACTGGGCCATGACAGATGGGTAGTACTTGGACATAAGACTGACAAGTGACTAAACTGCCAGAGCATTTTCACACATCCAAAAAAAAAAAAAAAAAAAATTCTGACATTTTCTGCTTGGTAAGTTTTATAGAAATACTCAAGAAATAAATTTAAGGACTATATCATGATTATATAAGTCATTAGAACTTGGTAACACTATAAGGCCCCTGTTCTACTCTGCTAACAGGTCGTAACTATGAATATTAAACTCAACTGAATTTCTTCCTCAGAAAGTTTGCTGGGTCTGATGGGCACCCCTCATGCCTTATGGGCTTCTCATTCCATGGACTGCACTGTTTCTCTTTGTCCCTTCTCTCATCCTTCCGCCCCCACACGACACTCTATCCCATCTCACCTTAAGAATAAAAAATGCCTTTTAAATATATTTTTACCATCCTAAAAATTCTGGAAAGTCCTGTATACCCTTGCTTTTTCTATTGCCTCACCTCCTACTCACTCAACCAACTCCTCAATTCATTTTAATCTGCATTTTCACATACACACCACCACCCTCACCACCACCACCACCAAAACTGACTCATGTCCACTTTGCTGCGAAATCCAGTCAGCACATTTTATACCTCATGTTAGCTGTCACCTCAGCACAAACTTTCTGTTCACTCACCTTGGCATCTGAGAGACAACTGAGCTGAGCTCTCTCTCTCTCTAGCCTCTCTTAAGCACTCTCTCCTAGTTTCCTCCAGAGGTCCCTCTCTACTCCTCAATATTAAGCACTTAGGTCCTCTTGGGCCTTTCTAGAGAATTTCTTCCACCTCCACATGGTCATATAACCTTATACCACACTGACTTCCAATTTTGTTCCCCTATTCCAGAATCCAGACATCAAACTACCCATTTGGCACTTCCATTTGGCTGTCTCACATGTATCTCAAAATTGAATATTTTTCCCTGTCAGTGTTCATCAGGGAAGGAACCATTTTGGATCTAGCAGTTTGGGCCGCTCTCTTAAGTTCCATATCGGATCAACCACTGAGTATTATCCGTTCCGCGTCCTAAAAAAATCTCAGGCCCAGCCACTTCCTCTTCGCTGTCCCTTTTCAAGTCACAGTCTGTTCCCCTTTCCCTCTACTAATCTGATATCTTCCCACCATGCCCACCTCCAAGTCAGTCTCCATATTGCAGTTGGGGGTCATCATTTTAAAACCCAAATCATGCCATTTCCATGTGTAAAAGCCTTCAAGAGCTTCCAATTTAAGTTAGGTTATAGGTAAGCATCTTTATTCTAGTTTCTAAGATTCTTCACAGTCTTTTAGAGTAGGTTGAACTTAACCAGAAAAAAAAAAAAATTGGACAACACCAAGTGCAGGTGAAGATACAACACAATTGGAACTCTCTTATATTGCTGGTAGAAATGCAAAATGATACAGACATTTTGGAAAACTTGAGTTTCTTGTAAAAGTAAACCACACTTATCATCCAGCCCAGAAATCCTCTCCTAGATAATTACTCAAGAGAAATCAAAAGCTGTGCTCACACACAAAAAATGTTTACAGTGGCTTTATTTATCACTGGTAAATGACTAAACAAACTGTGGTGTATTTATGCAATGGAACAATAATTGGCAATGAAAAGAACAAACCACTGATAGACCTGACAACATTTCTGGATCTCAAATGCACTCTGCTAAGTTAGGGGTCAGCGAATTATGGTTTACCACCCAAATCTGGCCGCCGTCTGTTTTAACAAGCCAAATTTTATTGGAACATAGCCACACCCAATCATTCGTGGATAGCACATGACTGTAATAGCAAAGTAGAGAAGTTGCAACAGCGATGGTACAGCCGGGGCACCTGGGTGACTTAGTGGGTTAAAGCCTCTGCCTTCTGCTCAGGTCATGATCCCAGGGTCCTGAGATCGAGGCCCACATCGGGCTCACTGCTCAGTGGGGAGCCTGCTTCCCGCCCCCTCTCTCTGCCTGACTCTCTATCTACTTGTGATCTCTGTCTGTCAAATAAATAAATAAAATCTTAAAAAGAGAGAGAGAGAGATGGTACAGCCTGCAAACCTAAAACATTGACTACATGGGCCTTTACGGAAGACAGACTCAGAAGTCTATTTATGACATGATTCCATTTATGTGACATTCTCTAAAAGCAAACGTATAGGGTCAGGAAACAGATCGGACTGTCGAGGTCTGAGGACAGTGGGAGGGCAACACTGACCACAAAGAACAGGAGAGAAATTTTGAGGAGGATAGAAATGTCCTGTATCTTCACTGTGGTGCTGGTTATATGACTGTGTGGCTTACAAAAACTGATAGAACTGTATATTATAAAGGATGAGTTATACCACATAATGTAAATTATACCCCAAATTCTACCTCAATAAACTTGACTTTAAAAAAAGTAAGCAGACGTGTGTAGAGAGCCAACAAGCACACAAAAAGATGCTCAACATTGCTAACCATCTGGGAAATGTGAATCAAAACCACAATGAGATATTATTTGATACTTCTCAGTATGGCTAATATAGGGACACCTGGGTGACTCAGTTAGTTAAGTGGCTGCTTTCAGCTCAGGTCATGATCCTAGGGTCCTGGGACTGAGTCCCACATGAGGCTCCTTGCTCAGCAGGGAGTCTGCTTCTCCCTCGGGCTGTTCTGCCTGCCACTCCCCCTGCTTGTGCTCTCTCTCTCTCTCTGACAAATAAATTTTAAAAATTAAAAAAAAAAAAAAAAGAATGGCTAGTATCAAAAAATATAAGGGACACCTCTGTAACTCAGTTGGTTAAGCATTTGACTATTGATTTCAGATCAGGTCTTGATCTCAGGGTTGTGAGTTCAAGCCTCACACTGGGTTCCATCGCTGGCATGGAGCCTTCTTTAAAAAATAAATAAATAAAGGTGTTTGGGTGCCTGAGTGGCTTCAGCAGTTAAGTGTCT